AGAAATGATCTAGTCCTCTTTACGTATTTTGCGGATGAGGAACTTGAGGCCTGGAGAAATTAATCGCTTTACCTGAAATCCCGCAGTTTTCTTGAGACCCAGCCTGTGTTCTTTTTAAACTCGGCGACACATTCCTTCGGGGCTTGAAAGCACAGCAGTGGCAATGTGGCAGCCGCCGTGTGGTGATGCCCACCTCCCACCAGGTCTCACTGGGTGCCAGGCCAGACCAGAGCCTACCTGCCACTTCCATTCCTGGTGGGAGAGACGCTTTGCTTGGAATGCTGAACGGTGCTGCTGGGGTCTCCTCCAGGTTCCCGGAGGGTCCGTCCGCCTCACTCAGGGATCTCGTTTTTCTCTTCTGGTGGCATCTGAGGGGAGGGGCTCTGCTCAAACCTCACTGGCTCCTAGGCGAGCTGTAAGGCCATGAGCAGAGCAACCCCACGCATATGCTGCAGGGACCAGGCAGCACCAGAACTGAAGCGTCTTCCGCAGGAGAACGTCAGCACTCCCAAGTGCACCGCCTGACGTCTCCTCACTCCCGCTTCAGCCCTCAGGGACCACCACCGGGCAGCAAAGTACTGTGGGACCCGACCCTCCTCACCTGCGCCCAGCTTTTAACCCTGCCTCCCAGCCAGACTCCCACTGCCCCCCTCCCCCACTTCCGTACAAATCGATCCCAGCCTCCCTTCTGGTGTCCCTTTCCTCCACCCCCTCCTGTAATGGGAGCCAGCAGCCCCGCGCCCTTCCTGGGCCTTCTCTCAGCAACACTGCCTCCCCTCCCACCAGCAGATGCTCGGTGCGGCTGTGCCGCAGGCAGGCAGGCAGGCAGGCAGGCAGGCGTGCCCGGAGAGCCACCCAAGCACCCCCAGAGCGGGAGACTGTCCTGACACATCCCCAGGAGACCACCTTTCATTAGCATTCACAGCAGGGACTGAGAAAAACACTTCAGCTACAGTTAAAATAGTCCCTCTTTTCTCCTCTACCTCTTTAGGAAGAAGGCTACCACTAGCTGATTATTTGCAGAATTTGGCCTTTCCTTCTACTGTTTCAAGAGGCATTTTTCACAGAATAGTAATGGGGACTGGAGAGCAAGAGGAACGAGCCACCCCTTGGTGTGGGCTGCCATGGGTCATGGTCCTGGCACTGGGCTCTGTGTGCACTGGTCAGCGAGGCGCTCCCCAGAGCCCGGTGTGCAGACACTTGGACCCGGACCCGGCAGGGCTGGGCTACCTAAAAAACAGACCAGGACTACTCGTTAGGACAAGTAGTCAACGGTGGCAGCACCAACCTACCTGGCCAGCAGGTTACCCAGCTGAGTTGTCATTATTTGTCCTCATAACAATTGAATACAGTTGTCCTTTAGCTCACTGTGTTCCAGTTACCCGAATTAATTTTATCTTTTTTTTTTTCTGTAACATGTATTCACCCACCCTAGGCCCCTGGCATTGCTTACCGTTTTTTTTAAAAACTGGTTCCAACCGCCTTCATCATTCAGTTGGTTCCTACTCATTGCAGCTGAACCAGGGCCTCCCAGCTGCCCTCAGGGGCCTGCCCAGCACAACAGGGCAGCAGAGGGCTTCAACGGGGAGACACCGAGCACTGTGCTGTCGCAGCAGAGAGAAGGGAGCAGCTGATCACACTTTCTCCTTCTAGGGATGAGGCCACAAGAAAGCACAAGGGCAGGAGGCCTTTTCTTTGAGTCAAGAAAAAAGTTAATTTTTCTATTGCAGCGATTGAGCAAAACGCAAAGGCTCTGGCTGTGCCTCTTCTGGCTCCATTCTTCTCTCCGCACCTTTCTCCTGCTCCCGCCCCGCAGGGCTCTTCCCCGCCCCACACCCTAACCCCGCTGGAATTCACAGGGACTCATCCCTGTTCCAGCCTCCAGCTCTTTAGCTATGAAATTCAAAGGTGCTCTCCGTCTCCAAGATTGCTCCCAAACCAAACATGCTGCGGTTCCGTACCTTCTCAGGAACCAAAAGTGCTTAGACCACCAGTCTGAAATGTGAGAGGACTCTCAGCTGTGCACGCTGCACTTCTGTTCTCTTAGCAAATCGATTAGAGTGAGAGTTTCCAGGACCCGTGGCGTGGGCCACGGGTGACGTCTGCTGCTCAGAGAGTCACACGGTCCACTTCCTCCTCCCAGTGACACTTAGAACATATAACATACGTGCCGTGAAAAGGGATGGTTTGATATAAAATACTTCTTCACTCAGGGAATTCTTACTCAAGGACTTAAGGGACTCACTCTAGTCCCTTGGAAATGAAAGCCGACATCCCTGTAAAACGTGTAACATGTCAAACTTCCAACGCAACCTTCGCCGCCGCCCCCCCCCCCGTTCACTGCTCCCCATCACTGGCTTCAGACCCCCCTACTGCCGTCTCCGACAACAGGCTCTGCTCACACTCAGGCCCAGCACGTGCAGCACACGGGTGCACACCCAGTTGTGCACAACTGAGAGGAATGCAGGAGACTCATTTCTATCCTGTTCCTTTTGTCGTCAGTTCTAATGCTTCTACAACCCACTGAAATCATCGCAGGGCTCTCTAAAGTGGGCTGCAAACGGCAGTTGGAAACAGGCTGCTCGGGACACGGCCCCTCTCGTTGGAATCGAACCTGCTCGCTCTCCAAGGCGGGGCCTCCAGCGGCAGGAGCGGGTGGGCTTTGTGTGCCGGCCGCACGGCAGCACAGACAAGCTCCCAAGTCAGAAAACAAATGCCACACACCTCATTATCTGTAGATCAAGGGGATTAAACACAGACGCCAAGCAGGCCGCCAAAAGTATCAGTGATCTTGGAGAAAGTAGTGCCTTTCCGGGGGGGAAAGTGTTTCCGCTTTGAGAGAAGATCTTTGAAAGACAGAAGTCACTTCACCGCACGCTGGTGACCGGGTCATTCATACTATTGCTCTCTGTGATGTAAGTCCTAACTAAATTTCTCTGTCTCACTCTACTCAGCTAATAAGGTGTTATAGTGATCAGAACAAAATATTGGGGTGGCACCTTTCTCATTTTGGGGGTGACCATTTGAAAGAAAAGACAGGGACCAAATGCCACTGAAGCATCTGGGTGCTGTGCTTCTACGCAGTGTCTCCTGACTCCAGGCGATCCCACGAGAAGGATTTGCAAAGAGGGGACAGGAGAGTTGGGGGACTCTCTCTGGTACATAAACAGATTCCGAATTACTCTTCTGAGGTCTAGGGGCCCCCCAAAGTAGGTGGGACGGCATAGAGGGCCAATGTCTGTTTCAGGGGGTTTCAGGGGGGTGCTGGATTCAGAATAACTCACTTGGCAGCTTAGTGAATATTTTTATACACGACATGAAATTTACCATGTTAATCATTTTTAAGCATACAACTCAGTGGCATTAAGTATCGCAAATGTCCATTTCTAGAGCCTTTTCTTCCTCTCAAACTGAAACTCTGGACCCCTGAACCCCCTTCTGCCTCCCCCCACCCCAGGCAACCGCAGTCCTACTCCCCGCCTCCAGCCTAAGTCCCTCCGTGAACGTGGGGTCACACCGCGTTTGTCTTTCACCGGCTGGCTGGCTGGCTTCACTTGCTAGCCCGTGTGCTGTAATCACCTTTTCTCCCATGGTACGCCAGCGCTAAGTGGCCTTGTCAGTGGGCCCCGGAAAGTTTCCTGACAATGCAAGCACAGCCGCCCGACCACGGGGACCCAGGAAAGGAGCGGCCGTGTGTCCCAACCCAGCTTTCTCAAAAGTTTCCCTGAGCCAAGCCAGGCTGCGAGCCAGGGCCAGGGCTGGAAGGCGTCCCAGCAAGTGCCCTGCTGGCCTCAGGGTACAGGACACAGCACGCCTTCGGGAGACACCCCCAGACCCGCACTTGAACTTTGTTCTTCCATTGCACGCACTGCTCCCAGCTTCTGGAAGCAGTTTATCAGAGTGAGAGGAGGGAGGAGCTGTGGTTCGCCAGCTCCCTGGCTGTGGGAAGAGGCTGCAGGGAAGCGAGGAAGCCAGTCCTCACTGTCTGGCCGCAGTGGGATGACACTCCAAGCGATAATCCCAAATAATCCCCCCTTTCACTGAGTAAACAGCAGGAACCCAGGAGAGGCCGAGGCCTGTGTGCGGAGAGGTGCGGGGAGGGTTAGGAAGGCACTGCAGTACGTCATTATTCTTTAAGAGGTCTCCTGTAATTGAGAAAGGAAAAGAAACAGTTCTCAGAAAGTATATATATAACATGAGCATTTTAAAAAGAGAGAGGCTCCCATTATTTCCTTTATGTTGGTAATTCTCTAAGTTTTGAATTCTGGGCCAGGGGTAACGGGACATGAGTTTCACTTTCACAAAACAGAGTTGCTGACAGCTAACGCTGCCCCGTGAAAACCCCGGGATTCCCGGTTTTCCCTGACTGCAGCGAGGTGGGCAGCTTGGCTGAGGGAATGTGGGGATGAGAACAAAGAAAAGGCTCGTGTTAGAATATAGCGCATCTTTGGCCCTGAAGCAGAAGGTTGCTGGTTCAATTCCTGGTCGGGGCACATGCCTGGGTTTGGGCCAGATCCCCAGCTGGGGGCGTTCGAGAGGCAATTTATCAGTGTCTCTCTCCTCCTTTGTCTCCCTCCCTTTCCTCTCTCTAAAGGTAAATAAATACAGCCTTTAAAAAAAAGAACGTAGCTCATCTCCAGTAGGAGAGTGAGCATCCATGAGAAGACAGGCCCTGGTCTCTCTGGGTGTGGTTTGGAAGGGGGTGTGGGGAGAGGGGTGGCAGTGAATGATTCCTTACACACCGTGTCAGGGGGGACTCGCTCGCACGCAGGCAGGCTCACTTGGGAAAGTCAGCCCGGGCATTGAGTTTGTGCCCTGGCCCCGTCTCAAGGCCTCATAGAGGCTGCGTGAGCCTGGAGTAACCCGTGTGAGCGCTCCGTTACAAGACACACCGGATCCGTGCGTGACGCATTTTCTCACCAACATGCCCGTGGGGCGGCGGGCGAGCATTGTCTGTCTCCGGCCCCCCCCTGACACGCCCCCCTTCTCTCCCGCTGCAGCACGCTGTCCAAGTGCTGCCACGCGATGGTGGCCATCACCTACCCCTTCACCTGGCAGCACACCTACATCCCCGTGCTCCCGCCCGCCATGGTCGACATCGTGTGCTCGCCAACACCCTTCCTCATCGGGCTGCTCACCAGCTCGCTGCCGCTGCTCAGGGAGCTGCCGCTGGAAGAGGTGAGCTCCCGGGAGGCCCTGCCCCCTTCCCGTGGGGGGCAGAGGGGAGGCCCTGGCTCAGGCTGTGCAACAGATGGGAGCAGGGGACCCCGCAGCTTTGTCTGTGAGATAGCTGCCCCCCGCACCCCTCCCCGAGTCTGCAGCTGGGCCCTTTTTCATATCAGTAAAAAGGCAACCACCAAAACGTGTTTGATGACCAGGTTCTGGGGGTTCGGGTTTGCGTCCAAGTGGAGGAAGTCCTACTGGGCGTCTCTGTGTTTGTTTAGCCCGTTCCTCTAGGAGCCTCTGTCCCGGGTGCCGAGAACTTCCAGCAGTCAGAGAGGAAGCCACCGGGACTAGTGATGCCACCCACTCCTGCACCCCTGGGTGGGGCGCACCTGGCCCTGGAATTCAGCCTGGGTCCCTGGATGTGGCTCCTCTCATGGCCTGGGTCGTCCTCACAACTCGTTCATATTAACCAGCGGGTTCCCGTCTTTGTGGGTTTGTGAGCTGTGAGAAGCTTGGAGACCCTGTGGCCCCTGATGAGGTTCAGTTCAGTCCCAGAGGGCGTTTGAGAAGGAAGGAGAAAGGGGCCCTGGGACGTGTTAGAGCCACGTTCCAGCTGTTTGTGAAAACCTGCTGCCACGCAGGCCCCCTGCTCCTCCACCCCGCGCAGCCAGTGACCCGTGCTGGGGCCTGAGGGAGCGTCCCCCTCTGGGAGCACTGCAGGCAGAAGCCCTGGGCCTCCTGGCTCTGGCCCTGGGAGGGGCAGGTGCCGCGTCCGAAAGCCCTGACTGAGGAGGGCACAGCACCCGCAGCTTGTTTGACTCTCCGGTTGGATCCACTCCGAGGGGCTTCTCCCCTCCTCTCCCATGAAGAGGAGTGGCAAGGCCAAGTGGGTATCTGGGAGGAAAGAGAGAGAACCCTGGGTGCAGAGAGGCAGAGTCAAGTGGAGGAGGGACAAGTGGGGGCCTCTGGCCTGTCCCGCCCACCCCAGTGAACCCGCGCACTGGCAAAGCCGGCTGAGAGGCTCTGCCTTAGCCCGTCGGGGGCCGGGCAGGGCGTCCGCCCGTGGCGCACACACGTTCCAGCCTGCGGTTTCAGTGCTGAAAGCGTGGGACTCAGGAAAGCCCTTGCCCCCACCGCTCCCCCTTCATCACTCGTGGCTCCAGTGGCAGCATCAGGAACCACAGACGGCCCACTCCACCCCACCCCTGCTGCCTCTCTGGGTGCCAAGAAGGCGAAGAGCCCATCGCCACATCCCAGAGGCTGGTGGCAGTAACAGTCCCTGTTCCTTGTCTTGCAGGTCCTTGTGGTTGACCTCGTCAACGATCGCTTCCTCAGACAGGTGAGTGAGAAGGCCAGCTTCAGCCCGCTTCTCCCTCTGTGTTCACCGCTTTGGTGTTGGGGGCTCAGCCTTCCGGCTCTGGAAGGCTCCTTGAGAGCCCGGGTTGCCCACAGGCTGGTGCGGCTGGACCACCCCAGGCCGGGGCTGGCCCAGGGTGGGGCGGAAGGCAGGAGCCCAAGACGATGGTTTGGCACAGGATCGGTCCCCACTTGTTCTGTCTCCAGTGGTTTTCTAACCACTGGAATCTTCAGGTTCTAACTAGACACTTGTCTTTTCCAACTTGCTTTTAAAGAACATTTGAGAACAACGTTGATGATACCGTATTAACTGGGAAAAAATCAGGATGCAAAACCAGGTACATTCTTTGGTGACCTTCCTTTTTAAGAAAGGAAAGAAAGAGCCCTGGCTGGTGTAGCTCAGTGTATTGAGCGCAGGCCTGCGAACCAGACAATCGCAGTTCGATTCCCAGTCAGGGCACATGCCTGGGTTGCAGGCCGGTTCCCAGCAGGGGACGCACGAGAGGCAACCACACATTGATGTTTCTCTCCCTCTCTCCTTCCCTTCCCCTCCAAAGATAAATAAATTTTAAAAGTCAATTTTAAAAAAGGAAAGAGAGATTTTACATATACATAAAATCTAAAGGGATGTATGTGTTTATATACATACACACATCCACATACATGCACACACATACATATACACACACCCCTCTGGAAAAGTTGCAAAGCAAAACTCACCAAAACATGAATGCTAGTTCTGGGAGACTGAAAGGGAGACAGATTATGAGGGATGTTTTTTTTTTGTTTTTTTTTTTATTATTTATTTATCTTTAGAGGGGAAGTGGGGGAAGGAGAGAGGGAGAGTTTGGTTCGGGTGTAAATTGTTTTCAAACTTCCCTGTATTTTCCATAATGATTACAAACTGCTTTCGCTATTTGAGAAAGTAGTACACAGTTTCTCATTGTCATTTGCCAGCGAGGTCAGACCCTGTCAGGCCCTGCAGAGAAGCATCACAGAGCGGCTTTAGGGGCACCGCTGGATCGCTCCTATACTCGGAGTTGCCACACTGCCGGGAAGTTCTGTCCCGTTAATGCCAGGTTTTGATCATTAGTGCCACTCACTTTCACTTCCCACAGGCCCCCCAGCGAGGCCGTTCCCTGAGGCTCTCCTGCCCGGAGACCAGATCAGAAAGCCCACTTTGGTCCACAGGCCAGAGACCCCTGATCAGCACGAGCTACCCTGCAGGGTAGGGGCAGTGGGAAGCATTTCTTGAGTAGCCACTAAGTTTCCAGCGCTTTCCACAAGGTAATTGTCTAGCAGTTACCCAGCTCGATGGAGATATTACTGACTTAGGCATAAGCTCAGAGCAGCCTGACGATTCGATGCACTTGTCTGTTGTGCAGGGATGACCACAGGAAGTTTAGCAAGTCACGGTCGCTTCACACAGCCATCGCTCTCCTGTGTGCAGTGATGGCACTCGAGAGCCACTCCCTCAGTGACCGTCAGGTGGATGATGTGGCGCCGCAGTGGCAGTGCCAGGCGTTGGGTCCCCAGAACGTGTTCCTCGCGGGGCTGGGCGTGTGTGCGCTTCAGCCCTGGCTCCCTCAGCCCCAGCCTCCGGCAGGCACCACTCCTTTCTGTTCCTAATGCGTTTGGCTTCTTTACATTCCAAATGCAAGTGAGAACATACCGTATTTGTCTTTCTCTGTCTGATTTATTTCTCTTAGCATAATGCCCTCCAGTTTCGCCCATGTTGTCGCAAAAGGTAGGATTTTCTTTTTTATGGCTAAATAATATTCCTGTGTGTGTGTCTGTCTGTGTGGCCCTGCCTCACCCACTTACCCACCGATGGGCACGTAGGCTGTCTCCGAGTCTTGGCGACTGTGGACAGCGCTGCAGTACAGGTGGGGTGCAGATCTGTCTGCAAGACGGTGATTCCACTTCCTGTGCTTCAGTGCCCAGAGGTGGGACCACCAGGTCAGACGGTAGCTCTGTTCTTAGCTTTCTGAGGCGCTGCATGCTGTGTTCCTTACGAACTACATCAGTGGACACTGCTGTTCCCGCCAGGACTGTCACCTCTCGTCTTGTTGATGGCAGGCATCTGGCAGGTGTCAAGGGATGTCATGGTGTTGATCAGCATCGCCCCAGGGGTTAGTGATGCTGAGCATCTTCACGTGCCTGTTGGCCATGTGGGTGTTGAGTGTCGTTTTTTTGAAAATCGTCTATTCCTGTCCTTTGCTCAGTTTTTAAAAGTTGTAGCCAAGACCAATGTCCAGGAGCTTTCTCCCTATGTTTCACTCCAGTAGTTTTACAGTTTCTGGTCTTCCCTTCCAGTCGTCGTGCATTTTGGGTTAATTTTTGTGATCAGTGTAAGACAGGGGTTCAGTATCATTCCTTTACGTGTGAACATCCAGTCCCCGGTGTCCTGTGTGAGACGGTGATTTTGCCGTGCAGGACCTTGGCTTCCCTGTGAACTGCTAGTTGACCAGATATGTGTGGGTTCATCTCTGGACTACTGACTGATTCTGTTTCACTGGTCTGTGTGTCTGTCTTTACGCTGGGACCATGCTGTTTTGATGCCTTTCTTTTGTAATTAAGTTGGAAATCAGGAATTGCAGTGCCTCCAGCTTTGTTGTTCTTTCTCAGAAACGTGTTGTCTGTTTTGGGTCTCATAGTTCCCCATGAGTTTCAGCATTGTTTTTCTATTTCTGTGACATATGCCACTGGAATTTGGACAGGATTGCACTGACTCCGTACCTCACTTTGTGGTAGGGACGTTTCAGCAACATTGGTTCTTCCCGCCCGTGATGCGGGACAGCTTTTCGTTCCTCTGTGTCTTCACTTCCTTTCTCCATGGTCCTGCATGTCACGTCCAGTTCTCACAGTGAGGGAGACAGTGATTGGGAGCTTGTGTTACGAAGGGAAAGAGGAGGCTCGCGCAGTTTGCAAAAAGTGGAATCGAGACTCACACCTCAGACCTGTGACTCCCAGTCGTGCTGCTCCCACGACACCGAGGCCCGTGCAGGCCGGCCCTACGTGGCGCCCCATGTGTCCTGCTGGCCGGGACGCGGCCACCATCTCCAGAAGCACGGGGACCATGGCCTCCCTGTTTTCTCCGCTTCACAGATGGATGACGAGGACTCCATTCTGCCCCGGAAGCTGCAGGTAGCCCTGGAGCACGTTCTGGACCAGAGGAATGAGCTGGCCAGTGACCCGGATGAAGGGCCCCTTGATTGCAAGCGTGGTAAATGCTCCCCCACCTCCTGGACCATGTCTCCCCTTCCATCGCCAGTCAGGGAGCAGGTGGACAAGGCCATGGCCCCACTGGGCAGTGGGTCGCGTGGGGAAATGGGCGGGAGGGACGCGAGAGGAGAGAAACCGGCGCCCGACCCACCCATCTGGGTCTCGTAGCAGTGCGCTGTGCGGAAGGTTCCCCCACCTCCCCGTGTCGGCCCTCCACTCTCTGTTTAAAGGGGGAAAGAAACGACTTCATAACTCAGGGCAACCTTTTTATGGAGCCTTACGGTTTGCCGTCAGCAGAGCTAGAAGGTGCTGGTGTCACTGATCTGCTCGTCTCAGAGGCTCTAAGCCTTCCTCCCTGGCCCGTCCCCCTCTGCTCAGGCCCTGAGTCCAGCCCCTTGAACGAGGTGGTGTCTGAAGCCTTCGTCCGCTTCTTCGTGGAGACCGTGGGCCACTACTCCTTGTTCCTGACGGCGGGCGAGCGCGAGGAGAGGGCCCTGCAGCGCGAGGCCTTCCGCAAGGCCGTGTCCTCCAAGAGCCTGCGCCGCTTCCTGGAGGTTTTCATGGAGACCCAGATGTTCCGGGGCTTCATCCAGGAGCGGGAGCTGCGGCGGCAGGACGCCAAAGGTTAGGGGGCGCCTTCCTGCTGGGGCTGAGACGGCTGGGGGGCCCAGCCCCAGTGGCTGATGAGCCAGGAGATTGGCCCCAGGGCCCCGGGGGCGCAGACAGACAAGAGCAGCTGTGTGGCCACCTCCAGAGCACGTTCACTTTTGCCCCCGGAGCTGCTGAAAACCGTCCTGACGCCTGTCTCCCGGGGCCCTCTCTTCCCTGTCACCGCCTCTCCCAGAAGCACTTCCAAGGTTCAGGTGGCCAGTGCTCCTCTCCTTGCACCCTTTCCAACTCAGTGAGACTGTGTGGGCACAAGTCCCTTCCTCTCTCTGGGGCCCCTCCGTCCCTTTCCTCGGGCCTCTTCCCATCCCTTCTGCCCTCCCTTCTTGCCCCCCCCCCACCATGCAGCAGGCTGGAAGTGGCCGGGTGGGACGGAGGGGGGGTGGCCCCCACCCTGCGCTCTGCAGGAGTGCCCGCTGATGCCCAGCCGGCTGCATGGTGGAGGTGGACGAGTGGGGCCATCCCCCAGCCCGGGCGCTTGTGGGCCGTCCATTCCTGTCCTGTTCTCTCTCTGCTTGGAGTTCCTTTCTCCCCAACCTTCCCCTCCTCCCTGTCGGCTGGGCTCCATCACACTTCCAGGGACAGAGGCAGGGAAGGTGGGAGAAAAGAGAACGGCATCATTCCCATCTCCTTCTCACATCATTTAAGCCCTTTTGGGAATCTGAAAACGAGAGATGTTAGTGAAGGCCATCACAGAGGGGACTCAGACCGGAGCAGGGGCTGGATGCTCACCCCTGAGGAGTGGCCACGCAGTGGCCAGGGAGGGTCTGAGGGGGCAGCTGGGCCCCTGCCTCCGTGTCCTCTGATGCTGGGATCGCAGGGACTGAGTAAAGGAAGCAAACCATTCCCAGAGCGCTTTGCAAAGTAAAGACAGAGGCCCGGCACACCTCGGGCCATTCTGAGGCGTGGCATCTGCAGAGACGAGAGAAAACTGAGCAGAGAATGAGCCACGAAACATCCGATGAAAGGGTCCTTTAACAGACGGCCTGCTGGGCACACGTCCGTGTCTCCGTACAGATCACTGTCTGATGGAGAGGTCCAGGCAGAAGCTTCCAGAGCAGCGTGGTAGGCTGCCTGTGTGCCAGGAAGGCGGAGGGCGGAGGTGCAGGCCGAGGGGTGAGAGCGGAGGTGCCGCAGAGGCGGCCGCCCAGCCCCCCCGATGCCCGCCGATGGCAAACGGACGCCCGGGAGCTGCCCCACGGGGCCGGGGTCACTCTCACTGGAGAACTCGAGGGAGAGGGAAAGTCCGGGAGTTCCCGAGAGCCCGGGCCACCCCGTTCACCTTGACCACGTGCCTGGCACACTGCGGATACTGGGAAGGTGTTTGTTGAATAAAAACAGGATTTTGTGTAGGAGCTGGCTTTACGGTGTTCCAAAGACAGTGTATTCTACAAAGTTAGGCAATTATAAGGGTCATAAAAACTCTTACAAACCTCATGTCTCAGAGCATGTTTACAGAGCAGCCCATCTCAGAAGCAGGGCCCCCTTCCCGGAGCAGAGAGGAAGAGGGTGTGTTTAGGAGGGCCAGACGAAGGCGCTCTAACGGCTGGGCTCTCTCCCGCCAGCAGGTCTGTTTGAGGTCCGAGCCCAGGAGTACCTGGAAACACTCCCCAGTGGAGAACACAGTGGTGTCAACAAGTTCCTGAAGGGACTAGGTAAGGCCGCTGGTCCAAGATGCCCATCGCCGATGGCCTCTGCTCCATGGGCTCGTGGCCAGTCCCCTCCCCTGGAGCCAGACCCTGAGTCGTGCAGAGCTCTCTGGCCTGTGCCGCACAGGCTAACTCAGCATTTTAACCTCCTGTCAAACCACCTGACCTCAAAGTGTCAGCAGAGGCCACCAAGGCCCCTCCCAGCTGTTCCGGGCCGCAGGCCGTCTGGCTACCTTCTTTCTCTGCCAGCACCCCCATGCCCGAGGCTGCCCGGGCACTGAGCTCGGGAAGCACGAGGAGTGGACATGGACTGGGGTGTGTAGCAGTAGAGAGCTGGCCCAGCCTCCCAGTGTCCCTGAGAGTGGACACGTAAGAACGACAAGGACCCCAGTTTCACTGGTAACAAGGGCCTTGCTAGAAAAAGGAGGGCAAAGAAGAAGAAGTGAAACAACTGGACCACGGGCGCGGGCCCAGTGACGAGGCCCGAGGCGGTGAGGGCCTGCTTGTCCCTCCCACGGGATGCGCAGGTCGCTGCCCAGGACGGGCCACCTGTCCTCCAGGCTGCCGGGAGCTTGCTCCTCACTCGGCTTCTCGGAGACGTAGTGTCTAGAGATGCCTGTGTCACCATTTCAGAAGCAGTGTCTGCAGCCCTGACAGCCAGGGCTGTCCCTCTCAGAGCTCCCCAAGTCTGAGGACGAGCCCTTTTCCTTGGGGGCAGTGCCAGGCAGGGCCCAGGGTGCGTGGGAGGCCACTGCTGTCCACGCCTCCGTGGGAGTGAGAGGGGCCGGGTGTAATTCCTCAGCCTCCTTCATCTGCCTGCTGAAATGTTCTCATTTTCTCTTTTTAGGCAATAAAATGAAGTTTCTCCACAAGAAATAACCCTCAGCCCAGACATGAAGGAAAACTTCCTCCGAGAGCATCCACATGTTTTAAAAACAGTCCTGGTGGCCTTTCGGAAACCTTGGGTCCTCAGTTGTCCCAGGTGTGCTGGGTAAGGGCCAGGGTGGATTCCGGCCGCTGCTGAGCGGGCCGGGCCCCAGCCCCAGGGTGCCAGGTGGTGGGGCCCTTGAGCGTGGCTCCGAAAAGGGGACTGAGACCGAGCGCGCCTCCGCACTCAGATGGGTTGTTTCAGTCGTTGGGTTTGGGATTTTTTTTTTAATATTAGATATTAAGTGAAAGAAATACGTTCGGGGTTTTTTTTTTTTGTTTTGTTTTTGTTTTTTTGGATGCCAGAGCTAAGAAAACTATCCTTCCCTGTGTGATCTTTCCCTGGCTCATCCTGCCCGTCAGCCTACCTCTGGGCCAAACTGGGGACAGATGAGGTGTCAGGGCGAGGGGTCTGGGGACCCTTACAGGCCCTAGACCCTCAGGTCCCAGAGCAGAGAGCCCTGTGGGGAAAGGATGGCCCTTCTGTGCAGGAGTCGGATCAGGGCTCCAAGGATTTTGGCCTCCAGGATGAGCTGCGCTGTCACAGTGGCCAGTGCTGCCACCTGCTGGCGGAGGCCATTGTTGCGCCACCAACTCCTCCCTACCGACCTGACTTCTTGAGCGGCTTCTTTTCTCTTAGAAGCCGCGCCCCGTGCACTGCCCTAGCCACCCGTGACTTTTGAGGCACACACAAAAAGAGGAAGTCGTAAGGCCTGTTAATAAGGTGTTCTTAGGGTCCCAAAGTTTATGTGCATAAAGTATCGTAGAGCCACCTCTGACCCTATTCCCACCCTGTGTGAAATGTGCCCATCTTGTTTTGGGGCCAATCAGCAGAAATGAGATGGTATGTGGATTAACGGAGGGGCCTTTGTGATCCGTGTAAGCGAGAGAGCATCAGAATCTGGGGACCGCTTCACTAGATGTGCAGCTTGCCTTCCTGCCAGGGACCCCTCGGGGTGGCAGGGGGAGACTGTGGGTGGCACAGGCCACCGGGCCACCACCGCAGCCCACCCGCCTCGAGGACCCTCTCTCCAAGCCATACCCAGACTCGGTGTCTGGGGGGAGGGTGCGTCGCTCTCATCAGCTTCACAAAGGAGCCCAAGGAACTGCCTGGGTGGGTGTGTGTGGGTGTGGTCAGGGGTTTGGGGGGAAGGGGGGTGGGGTCTCTGAGTGTGGGGGCTCAGAAATCTGTACCTGACAAGCTCCTCAGATTAGTTAATTTTATTAATATGGATATTCTGCCCAGAGATGGTCACTTTTAATATTTTAGAATATACTTTCTTTTCTAACTTATTTTATGTTATATTGTTTACTTAACACCTCCAAGTGAATAAATATACATTTTATTGATATTTCTAATGGTTGTATGTTTTATAGATACACTGAAAGTTACTTTACCAATCCCTCACAAAGAGCATTGAGCCCTGGCTGGTGCAGCTCAGTGGATTGAGCACCAGCCTCTGAACCAAAGGGTGGTGGTTCGATTCCCAGTCAGGGCACAGGCCTGGGTTGCAGGCCAGGTCCCCAGTTGGGGGCATATGAGAGGCAACCACGCATTGATGTTTGTCTCCTCTTTCTCCCTCCCTTCCCCTCTGTCTAAAAATAAACAAACAAGAACATTGGGGAAGCATCTGTGTACCGACACCCCAGTCCTTTGGCTCCATCTCACTTTAGCGCTCGCGTGAAGCACGATGTGTTTCACTTCATTACAGCGCACTTCACCGCACTACAACGTTACTCACTTTAACATACACACAGAAAGTGCTCAGGCCCTGGTGTAGCTCAATGGATTGAGCGTGGGCCTTCGAACCACAGTATCGTGGTTCAATTCCCAGTCAGGGCACATGCCTGGGTTGCGGGCCAGTTCCCAGCAGGGGGCACACAAGAGGCAACCACACAATGTTTCTCTCCCTCTCTCCTTCCCTTCCCCTCTAAAATAAGTAATCTTTTTTAGAAATTAGTTTTTTTAAAAAAAAGAAAATAAAGTGCCCAGGTTGTGAGTCCAGAGGCTGGCAAGCTTGCACGAGGGGCCGCGGCCGTGTAACCAGCAGCCGGGTCAGGAAGCCGAACGTCCTCGGACCTGGAGGCCCCGCCCCTCGCCTTCCAGGTCCCTCCTATCTACTCTGCGAGTGTTTAAGTCCACTAACAAATTGTCCACAACTTGCAAGGTGATGGAGCAGGCTGGGGAGGGTCAGAGAGGCAAGAGGGAAACGTGCCTTTGTGATTGATGCCTGCTCACCGTCGGGGCAGGTCCCGGAGCCTCCTGTGTTTGCGCCGAGAACCAGGACGTGGCGGCGCAGACCTCGCGCCTGCCCAGAGAGTACCCACGACCTGCAGCCCCAGTCACACAACGTCCTCCCTGAAGGACGTGTGTGCGGGCAGAGGCGTGCGTCACTGTGCGTCACTGCGCGTCACTGTGCGTCACTGTGCTCCTGCTCACCGGGAAGCACAGGGGTTTTCGATGTGCCTGTGCATTTCCCTGTTCTCAGCGTCTTTGGTTGTATACCTGGGAGAGGGCTTGCCGCATCCTGTGACCATTTCTACATTTAAAATTCTGAGGAGCCATTAAACTTTTCCCAGGGGCTGCACCACTTCAGGTTCCCACCCAGAGTTGGAAGGACAGCCGCCTGCTTTCTCAGCTCTGCCCATTGCCCTCCAGCTGCCCCTCTGGGAGAGAACCCCACGCTCCCCAGGTGGCGATCGGCTTGGCCTGCGACACTCGTTTGAAAAGCAGGTTCTCGGGATCTGCCTCCACTCATCTGGTGCTAGAACCCTTGACTGGCAGGAAGTTCCCTAAAAGTCTCAGAACATTGGTAGGACTCTGAGACCGACCTCCTTCCCCTCAGACATGCGAATTCTCCCTTAAGTTGAATTGGTAGAGAGTGATGTTAGGGCCAAGCTTTAGATATTAGACTTTTGTATGCAAAGCAAGTCCTGAGTTCAGCAATACCCAAGAGCTTCTAAAATGAGTTGAAGACTGAAAACGTAAGTAAAATGCGTATCAGCTTGCAAGGGGCCACAGAAAGGCCACGGTCATTTGAGCAGCTCAAACCTAGTGAATTCAGTTGTTTGTTTTTAACGTTTCCTTAGTTACCTTGTGCGTTTTGAAAGCAAACCCAAGGCCAGTACAGGTTAGGCCCCCTAAAGCCCTGAGAAGAGATTGCTCCAGGGGTGAGCGCAGCTGAGGGCGAGTCTGGTGGGCTCAGCGCAGAGTTCACAGGAGTTGAGGGGAGCTGAGGTCAGAGCGGGTTTGGGGGAGCAGGGGAGGGACTAACCAAAGGTTGGTACGAAAAGTGCCAGGCAAGTGAGATGAGCCATTTAACTGCTGGCACCTGTCAGGGCCAATTAACTTCACTCCCCTGGCGTGTCCAGGGACCACACCTCGTCCTCACCCAGCCCTCGGGTGGGGCTCGGCTGCCAACTTCTAACCTTCTGGCTGCAATCTCGGAGGCCTGGCGCCAGCTTCCCCTGCCCCAGGCCAGAGAGTAAACAGGCTCACCTTGATCAACCCTGGGCTCCTTACCTACCCCTCTTGCCTCCTCTGTTGACAGTCGCTACCCCTCCCCACCCCAGCCGTTGATTCTGAGATCCCACGGTCGAACCCTGCCACCAAGCCTCACAACAGGCTGTCCTACAAAACCACTGATTGATTGCCTTACCCTCCTGGGCGGAACATGGACCCAGTTGTTTTTCTGGCAGAGAGATCGAGATTCACACAGACCCGACCTTCCGTGTCTCACCAGGCCCCTGGATGGGTGTGGCGGGGCTTTTCCAGTGGGGTTCGGGGTGGCAGCAGGATGGGACAAGCCCCCAGGCAGGAGGCCAGCAGACCAGCTGGCAGGGCCGGGCCAGCAGCCCAAGCCCAGAGTCCCTGCGCCTGGGGTTTAGCTCAGTTCTCTCTCTCTCTGGCAGAAGCTGCTTTCTCCCCTCCCCACCTTCGTTTATGTGGTCTCAGGGAAGCACCGATAAGTTCTGGGCAGGAACAGATAGGGGAAAGCAGCCCTGTGCCCAAGCCAGGGCAGCCACCGGGGGGCTCACGGTGAGGAGGGTCAGTGTGCTTCCCAGCAGCAGGGCAACCCCCCATACTCTTGGTTCTGGCAACCAGAGACCCCTTGAGGCCAGCAGAGCCCCTGCTCCTTGAGGAGCTGGGAGCTGAGAAAGCAGAGTGAAGCCAAGGGCTGCCCCTTATCCCGAGATGGGACATTGACCCCCTGGGGGCAAGTGGGGTAAGGGCCATGCTGTACCAAGCCGGTCCTTCACCGCCCGGCACCTTCAGCCTTGTCAGAATATTGCTGAAGAAGGAGGAGGAGGAGGGGGAGGAAAAAAAGGGGGGGAGGGGAGGGGGAGGGGAAGGGAAGACAAAATTCAGTGCTGTTTGCACGTCCGTGTGAATATACTTAATTCCATCAAACCCGTGTCCTTCCAAATGGTTTAAATGAAGCATGTTATGTTGTGTATCTGGTCCCACAGCCCCCCCCCCAGCAATAATACCGAAATGCATTTCTAGTCTAGTGCAGTGATGTTAACTTTGGGCATTTAACATTCACACATGTATTTTTTTTTTTAGCTCTTACTTATTTTTAGAGAGAAGGGAAGGAAGGGAGAATGAAAGGGAGAGAATCATTGATGTGCGAGAGATACATCCAACAGTTGCCTCTCACGTACCCAAAGCTGGGGACTTGGCCCATAACCCAGGCATGTGCCCTGACTGGGAATCGAACCGGCAACCTTTCAGTTCACAGGCCAGCACTCAATCTACGGAGCCACACCAGCCAGAGCTCTTTCTTTTTTTAAGTTTAATATGACTTTTTATTAAGTATTAAAAACTAAAGTGGTCTTTTAAATACTGTTGAAATATGGCTCTTTTCATAGAGATTTTTTTTCCCAATTACAGTTGATACTCAGTATTATTTTAGATTAGTTTCAGTGTGCAGCGTAGGGCCAGACACTTATATCAGTTATGAAGTGATTCGCGCATGTATTTCTATAGGATAGATGCCAACTTCTTCCACCCCATACATATTGATCCTTAAACTATTTCCTACTAAGCCTATAATTATATATATTCCTCTTAAACTGTTTTTTTTTTTGTTTTTTTTTTTACCATTTCAGGACTAGTCTAGAAAAATAATGAAGGGATTTTTTTTTTAAGAATTTCTTTTTTTTTTAGATTTTATTTATTTTAGAGAAATGGGGAAGGGAGGGAGAAACTCAATGTGTGGTTGCCTCTAGCACATCCCATATTGGGGACCTGGCCTGCAACCCAGGCATGTGCCCTGACTGGGAATCAAACCAGTGATGCTTTGGTTCGTTCACAAGCCTGCATTCAATCCACTGAGCTACACCAGCCAGGGCCTGGTGAAGAGATTCTTTAGCACCTTTCCTCCGAGGTTTAGAAATGACAGATGGAGGCTTAGGACCATGTGCTGTGTGAGTGGCCAGACTGGACTTGGCTACAACCTGGTCTCGCCTCTCTCTGCTCTCCTCTCTCTAAATGGGCCCCAGGCGGGCCAGCCAACTCGCTGCCGCCCCCCCTGCCCTGCCCCAGAACTCAGCCTTCCCCTCCTTCGGGCTCCCGGGGTCAAGTCCTCCGAGAATATGCAGCCCCTGCCAGTCTCACGGCCACGGAGCGTCCTCCGTGAAGGAGACCAACATGGCCCCCGTCCTCCTGAGAGAGGAAGGAGCAAGTCCGAGTCTCTGGTCAGGCGTTTTCCCAGTTCAGACCCACGCTGGCCCGTGTGGCTGTGGCTAGGCGAGGGCCTCGTGTGTGCCCTGCAGGGAAGGGAAGGCCAGGGCACACTTCGGGGAGAGAGGCTTCCACGGGTCCCGAAGACCTGCAGGGCCAAGGGACAGGAGGCCCGGGGTGTGGTTTTGGTTTTAGTGCTGAGAGAACAGGGATCTGTTCTGAAGCAGCTTCAGAGTGTCCCTGAATCACAGTCACCTGGGAAGTGGGGCTTCCTGTATAGAAAGGGAAGAAGCTGGGCCCTGGCCTCAGACCATGGCAATGGTTGGAATATTGGTCGCACAAAACGTCGGTCCCGTTTTGTCCGTTCAGTGGTGCTAGCAGTGCCTCCTTGTCTCTGACTTCATTTGAAACAGTTTTGATTGATGGTATTGTGACCTCTGTCGCATCAGCGTGCATTGAAAAACAATGTATCACCCTGCCGGTGTAGCTCAGAGGGTTGGCTGAGTGGCGGCCTGCGAACTGAAAGGTCACCTGTTCAATTCCCAGTCAGGGCACATGCCTGGGTTGAGGGCCCGGTCCCCAGCAGGGGGCGCATGAGAGGCAGCCAGTCAGTGTTTCTCTTGCATGTGAATGTTTCTCTCCCTCACTTTCTCCCTCTCTTCCCCT